CGGCGGGTGAGGTGCCGCAGCGCGCAGACAGCCGGCTCGGTGATGTCCTCCTTGTCGCCTGCCCGCAGGATGGTGTGGATCAGGGCCTCCACGCCGTTCGACTGCGTCACCAGGGTCTTGTTCTTGCTATTGTTGCAGGTCAGGTTGGAGAGGGTGCCGGTGGCGCAGGTCAGCACGTTCACATCGTCAGAGCTCAGCTGGTTCACCAGGATCTTGAGGACGCCATCCAGGCCCTCCTGCGGGAACAGGACAGGAGCTCAGACCAGGTCCCTGCAGCTGCAGCCCTGCACCAGGTGTGGTGAGCTGGGGCTGCTCCTCCGGACAGGCCAGACACAGCTTTACTCAGAGTTTAACGTCTCCAGCAGCTTTTCCCTGCTGGGAAGCACAAACAACGTTCCCAGCCCGTCCCGGGGTGACCCTGCTCCCAGCCATGCCGGCAGCACTGGGGCAGGAAGGAGTTAAAGGCGCCGTGGCCAAGCCAGAGGACATTTCAGCCGAAATAGTTTCCAGGCTGCATCAGGGCTGATCTGCACCGAGAGGCGGCCCCAGCAGATGGGGAATGCATCAGGAGGCAGCAAAGGGCTGGGGAGAGCAACTCCAGAGCAGGGCTCAGGCTCACTCTCAGCCCCACAGGTACAACCGCCCTCATGGCAGCTCCATGGCCATTCTCTCACCAGGGAAGGAGCCATGCAGGCGGCAAGCACCGGGGCACTGCCAGGGGCTCCCCGAGTCGGGGTGGGCAGTGGCCCTGGCAATCCCTTCCTGAGTGCATGAGCAGCTGCCAGTGGCCTTGTCCCTCCCATGGGGACATGGCACAAGCGCCGGCACGGGAAGGCCCGCAGACAGCAAAAAGCATCCTGTGATGCCAGGAAACCTCGGGCACAGCTGGGCACCCCCCCTTGCAGTGCCACAACCCAGCTCACCAGGGCTGGGAATGGCACAAGGACGGGCCTTCGGGTACAGCTGAAGCACAACTTGGGGCCTGCAGGCTCACCTGTTTGGTAGCCACATCAGAGAGGTTCCGCAGGGTCCAGAGGCAGTTCTGGACCAGCCGGGGGCTGGAGCTGGTCAGGTGCTTGCCCAGGGCCTGCATGCCGCCTGCCAGGGAGGGAGACACCAGCCCAGTGGTGAGCACCCAAACACAGCTGCATCCCCCGGACATCCCCATCCTCCTCCCGCTCGACCCCAGTGCTGCCACCGCATCCCCCAGCCCCACTTACCGGCCTCAACAATGGCGGGCTTGTTGCTGGGACACACCGACAGCACCTTCAGCACCCGGCTCGTGGTCCACAGCAGCTTCTCGTAGTTGTAGCTGCGCATGATCTGCACCAGGGCCTGGGGACCTCCGTTGGCCAAAATAATCAGCTGCGAGACAGAAGGGCCAGGGTTGGGGCGGGCGGCACCACCGCTCCAGTCTGGCACACAGCAGTGCTCTGGGTCACCTCACCGGGGCCGTGCCACCGCCCTCCAGCCCCATACATCGGGTTCCCTCACCCACAGCCCCTGCAGAGCAGGCCCAGGACGGAGCCCCCACGCGAGGCTGGGACGACTCAAAGTGCTCCCTGGGCCCACCTTGCTCTCCTGGTTGCCGTATGCAAGGAGCTGCAGGCAGTCGGTGGTGATGGCCAGGAACTTGGGGTTGTTCTTGTTGAGCAGTGGCACCATCTTCTGCAGGCCATCGGCCAGGCGCACGGCCATCTTGGCCCCTTCCTGGTAGAGTAGCAGGTTGTGCAGGGTGGTGATGGCGTAGAAGAGGACGGACTCGACTGGTGAGCTGCAGGTGGGCGGCATG